CATAATAAAGCAATTCACAGAAAACAAGAACACTGTCAACTCTGGGGGTGGGGACAGAATGTGTTTATTTAACGTTCTGAAGGGAAAGGAGATAGAGTAAGTGAAAGCAGGCAGAAGAGAAAGAGGCAGGCTTCTTGCCACAGAAAGGCCTTGGTTCCAATGGCACGTCTACAGATGGCTGGAGGGGCGCTTCTGCACACGACCACCCAGCTCCGCTAAGGACGTGCCAACCACTTTGGTCATTTGTGTCTCCTTGAAAGAAAAGTGCCAGTGGCTCATGCCTGTCATCCTAACTACTCAGGAGAGGCTGAGCTCCCAGGATCATGCATGGTTCCATGCCAGTCCGGGCAAAATACTCCAATCTTCTCCACTTCCAGCTTTTTGATGGTTACATGGATTAAGTATCTCAGATTCTCTGCCTGAACTGGTTTTTAACCAGCAGTGCCTGGCTACAAATGATTTTTCCTTTTTTTTTTGGTCGGTCATGGGCTTGAACTCTGGGCCTGGGCATTGTCCCTGAGCTTTTCAACTCAAGGCGAGCACTCTACCACTTGAGCCACAGCATCACTTCTGGTTTTCTGGTGGTTAACTGGGGATAACAGTCTCACAGACTTTCCTGCCCTGAACTGTGATCCTCAGATCTCAGCCTCCTGAGTAGCTAGGATTACAGGCATGAGCCACCAGCACCCAGCTTACAAATGATTTCTTTTAAAGCCTATAGTCCTGAGGCTGAGATCTGATGATTGCAATTCAAAGCCAGACCAGAGAGAAAAGTCCATGACTCTCATCTCCAATTAATCACCAAAAAGCCAGAAGTAGAGCTGTGGCTCAAGTGGTGAAGCACCAACCTTGACTGAAAAAAGCTAAGGGACAGCATGCCCAGGCTGAGTTCAAGCTTCAGTACCACCCACCCCCACCCCCACAGCTGTTTTCCATGCATGAATCACTAGTGTTCTATACACATATCTAAATCCCAATGTGTATGAGACATTCACAACCATAGGTTTTCTTGTTGTAGTGGTGGTGGTTGTGTTTGTGTGTTTGTATGTGTGTGTACCAATCTTGGGGCTTGAACTTAGGCCTGGGAGCTGTCCCTGAGCTTTTTTTTCTCAAGGCTAGCACTCTACCACTTAAGCCACAGCTCTAACACTTCCTGTTTTGGTAGCTAATTACAGATGAGTCACAGACTTTCCTGCCTGATCGGACTTTGAACAGCAATCCTAGATCTTAGCCTCTAGGCAAGATACACTGGCACCTGGCTACAACCATAAGTTTTGAATCTCTGTAAGATCATGTTATTATAAGGAATCTGTATAACATTAAGTTCTGTCAGAATAAACAGTATCTTACAAATGTGCATATATTTGCAATGCATGTTACATCTGTATTTCAACCAGATATAGATTCTCATGTGACTAATAAAGACAAATGGATTAAATGCATTACTGAAATTGGAGCAAATGAAACTTACCTCTACCATATGGCTATCTTTTTTTTGGGGGGGGGGTCTGGTCGTGGGGCCTGAACTCTGGGCCTGGGAGCTGTCCCTTAGCTCTTCAGCTCAAGGCTAGTGCTCTACCACTTGAGCCACAGCACCACTTCCGGGTTTTTTCTTTTTGCTCATGTGGTGCTGAGGAATCGAACCCAGGGCCTCAGGCATACAAGGCAAGCGCTCTACCACTGAGCCCCCTTCCCAGCCCCACTATCTTCTTTTTTTAACCAGCACTGGGGTTTAAACTTGGTCAGGGCCAGGCCCTATTCCCGGGCTGTCTTGCTCATAGCTTTTTATTGTCAATTAGAGGAGCCTTTGTTTGCCGACTTTGAACCATGATCTTCCTTGCCTCAGCTTCTGAGTAGCTAAGATTATAAGTGTGAGCCACTAGTGCCTGGCTTCATCAACTTTATCAAGAAGTGTTTTTTTTTTTTTTTTTTTGCCGGGCGCTGGTGGCTCACGCCTGTAATCCTAGCTACCCAGGAGGCTGAGATCTGAGGATCGCGGTTCAAAGCCAGCCTGGGCAGGAGAGACCGTGAGACTCCTATCTCCAATAAACCACCAGAAAACCGGAAGTGGCGCTGTAGCTCAAGTGGTAGAGCGCTCGCCTTGAGCTGAAGAGCTGAGGGACAGCGCCCAGGCCCAGAGTTCAAGCCCCACGACTGACAAAAAAAAAAAGAAGTGTTTTTTTTGAGCCTGGCACTGATGGCTTACACTTGTAATCCTAGCTACTCAGGAGGGTGAGATCTGAGGATCATGGTTCAAAGTCAGCCTGAGCAGGAAAGTCCTGAAGACTCTTATCTGCAATTAACTAGCAAAAACCCAGAAGTAGGGTTGTTGCTCAAGTGGCAGAATGCCAACCTTTAAAGCCTTGAAAGCCTTAAAAAGCCAAACAAGAGTGCAAGGCCCTGAGTTCAAACCTCAGTACCATACCAGCACCAAAAAAAAAAGGTGCTTTCAAGATGGCTATAACTCAGTGGTAGCATACATACCCATCCTGGGCTCAGTCACCAGCACGTGCGCGCAAACACCGAAAACAAAAAAAATGAAGTGCTTACTTCAGGTGAGTCTTGTTGCTAGCGATCATATAACTAGGCACCTATGCACACAGTTGTCCTGTAAAAGGGAAAGGCAGGGCCTAAAGGTGTGCAAATGAAACACTGTGAACTTGGGTCCTTTTCTTTCCTCATCATCACATGTATCTAGGGCTGCTGTGATAGCACTCCTGACAAATACATGAATGTGTCACACAAAGACAAAACTGAGAAACAGTTTCCCAGTCCAAAAGAGACTTGCTAGGGTTAGAACACAAGTTCCTTCCCAAAATTCTTCCTTTAACTTAAGGACCAGAGTTCTGCTCAAGAAAGTTCTGAGAAGCACTTGCAGTAAGTGTTAATAGATTTCACTGGGCTAAGGAAGCTTATTCAATTCACAGCCATTTCTACATCCTTGACGTAAAATAATTATTTTATCTTGTAAGTTAAAACACTGTTAGAAGAGTCAAGGAGCTGTGGTGGTAGGGATAATATGTCATTTTACAGTTTTGTTTGTTTTGTTTTTTGCCAGTCCTGGGGCTTGAACTCAGGGCCTGGATACTGGTCCTTGAGATTTTTTTTGCTCAAGGCTAGCACTCTACCACTGAGCCACAGGGCCACTCCCAGCTCTTTCTGTGTATGTGGTACTAAGGAATTGAATCCAAGCTAGGCAAGCACTCTACCACTAAGCCACATTCCCAGCTCTCTCAGGTTTCTTAACTTTGTTCAGAGAACTAGTAATTGGGAACTCTGAAAAAAAAAAAAAACAAAACTTTTGGCAGGGGAGCAGTACAGTTTAAACTCAATACCTCAGGCTTGTCAGACAGCTCTACCACTGAGACATACCTCTAGCCCTGTTTTGCCCTACTTTTAAGATAGGCTCTCACTTCCTACATGAAGTGAGACCCTATCTTGACCTTGATCTGCTTGTTTTAGGCTTCCTACCCCAACCTAGCTGGGATAACAGGTGTATACTACCATGCCCAGCTTTCTTCCATTGAGATAGGAGTCTCATGAACTTTTCTGCTCCAGCTAGCCTGGACAGCGATCCTGCCAATCCCAGCTTCCTATACAGTGAGATATTGACAGTATACTACCACATCCAACTACTGGTTGTGCAAGGGTCTTGGGGTCTTCTCTGCCTGGGCTGGCCTTGCTTGCACCTGGCTTTCACACTGGGAACTTTCCCCACAGGCTCTCCTGGTGCTCATGCCTTCAGACTTCAAGTGCTCTCTTGAATCTCGAAGAGCCTGGCACAACTTAGCCCTCCCAAGTGCATGAGCTAATTCCTTATGCCAGATCTGTTTTACAATCTGCACATCTACCATATTGGTTCTGCTTCTCTCACTGTTAACTCCTTAACATAAACTAACCTTGAAAGGAAGTGCCTCTTTTAGGACGAAACCCTAAAACAACTACAAATTCATTAAGCAGGACAAGTCTGGGAAGTAGTAAAATGAGCCTTCTGTCCCCTCTGAATGGGGAGAAAACGAAGAAAACTTCAGATCACCTATGTGATGCTGTTTGCTATGCTGTGTCCTGGTAGCAGATACCCAATGAGCACTTTGTCTCTATAAAACAACTGACAACGAGTGCTTTAGTTCTCAAGTTACAATGTAAAATGAAGCTGTCTGTTCTGGCATCTTTGGACACTAACAGACCAACATTTCCAAAATATCAATCTCCTTGAAGATTTCAAGTGCTCCAACTTCATCATAGCCTTCCATTATGTAAGCAGTAGCCAAGTAACTAGAGTATCTCACCTCTCCTCATCCCCAATTGAAAACCAGTATATCTCACACTGTGTCAATGCATATCTCAGGCTATGTTCTAATGGGCTAATCATAACAGCCCATCATCTCACCCAGAGAAACAATCACTACAGAGGTGCATGATGGGATGTATATAAGAAGCTTCTTTTATTCCTCCTGGGCTGTAAGTCAGTCATATATTCTAGTCATAACTTTTACATGCAGCTGTGGTTCAGCAGGCTACTCTTCCACTTTTTCTCTTCTCTCCCCAACTTGTTTATTTGCCGCCAAAGAACAGATGAAGATGATCTCAACTCCTTTTCTCACCTCCAAGTCAGTGTGTCAAAGTCACACAAAACCAAGAGAAAGCCAGGCACCTGTCATCTTAGTTATTCAGGAGGCTGAACATGGTTTAAAGCCAGCTCTGGAAGGAAAGGACATGAGAATCTTATCTCCAACTAACCACAAAAAATGGAGGTGTGGCTCAAGTGGTGGAGCACCAGCCTTGAGCAAAAAAGCCAAGTAAGAGTGTGAGGCCCTGAGTTTAAGCCCCACTACTGGCACAAAACAAACAAACAAAAAACCCAGGAGTGACGGTCACCAAAAACACTGGTGATCTTGCTCTGCTAATTACAAACTGAGGCAGATGGGGCCCGGCCGCCTCAACACCCTTCCTCACACAGCCAGCACGCACCAGCCAGCCCCACTGTGGGATTTTGAGACTTTCCAGCAACATTCTTTACATTCTTCATTTATTTAGTTTTAAACACTTAAAGAGCATCTGTATGGACACTGTTAGACGTAGAAAGCAAGGCCAACCTTTACTGGCCAAGCGAGTTAGGGCATGATCACATTAATCAGCTTGACTCCAAGCAGAGTCAGAACCAAGCAGAACAGGAAAAGCTTCAGAGATGAAAAATGAGCTTTAAAAATTAAGACAACACAAAATTCCAATTTCTAATGAGCAATAAATTACCAAAAACATTGAATTGGCTGTAGAAGCAGTAATGAAGTAATCCTAAGACAAAAAGACAGTAAATAATGAGTTGGGAGATTAAAAAAAAAATCTCAGAACTGAAGATTCCAAACATCTTTCTGCATATGTATGCTGCCTATTTCATTCCCAGAAAGGAACCAGAATCAAACTCCCACCGACATTAAGATTCCTAGCACATGTCATGCTGGTTCTAAGGAAACTGCAATTCTTGAAATAGTGTCTGAAAATCAAAATGAGAAAACCTAAGTGTGTGATGATGGACCAGTTCTTCCTTCCCACTGTTATTTTCTTTGAGCTCTTGGAGGATCAAGACAAAACAAATTCAGTAGTCTCAGATTCCTAAATTAATCTTACCTCACTAATGTGGTCAAAATGTTTTTGTACAATTAAGACAAAGGGATTTATACTGGTAGGACTTTAGGGCACTGATTCCTTTGTATTTGCTGTGAAATGCGTTCATGGTGGGGGAGGGGCTAGAAACATCCATCACTGGGCAACAGGACACACAGCAGGACCCTACCTAGACTTTAAGGAATTGATTCTATTCAGGCAGGAGCAAACCAACATAATTGTTTCACACTTATAAAAGTATCACTCTGAATTTAGGAACAAGAGGCATTTGGTTGTAGATACAATTCCATCTGTAGGAACTAACTTTCAATTTAGAGAAGAAAACACTCATGGCATTCATAGTATGGGTTGGGGCTTCTTATGTGATTCCTAAATCCATCTACTACGTTTGTTTGTTTTGATACAATTTACAGCTATGGTAATAAGACTACCACAGACAGCCCTGGTTCAGGTATGGTCTTTAGTTTCAGAAAGTCCATCGGTCATGTAGCTGGTTGTCACTGCTAAATCTGTTGCTTGCAGAGGCCTCAGAGTTCTGGGTTTGCCGAGTAGAGTCCTCACCATTTAAGCTCTTCCTACATACGGGGCACGTGTCATGCTGAAACAGAAAGACACACAAAGTCCATGTGACCGGCCTGACCTGGGAAAGTCACTCTAGCAAGTCCTAGAGGCTCATGACTGTCATCAGAAGGATGGCTGAGATCAAGAAGTTCGGCAAGCTGGGCGCTGGTGGCTCACGCCTGTAATCCTAGCTACTCAGGAGGCTGAGATCTGAGGATAACGGTTCAAAGCCAGCCCAGGCAGGAAAGTCTGTGAGACTCTTATCTCCAATAAACCACTAGAAAACCGGAAGAGTACTCGAGGTAGAGTGCTCGCCTTGAGCTGAAAAGCACAGGGACAGCGGCCAAGCCCAGAGTTCAAGCCCCATGACTGACAAAAAAAAAAAAAAAAAAGTTCAGCAAAAAGGTCTCAAGAGGGCTGGGAAGGTGGCTCAGTGGTAGAGCGCTTGCCTTGCATGCATGAGGCCCTTGGTTCGATTCCTCAGCACCACATAAGCAAAAAGAAAAAAGCCGGAAGTAGCGCTGTGGCTCAAGTAGTAGGGCGCTAGCCTTGAGCTGAAGAGCTGAGGGACAGCGCCCAGGCCCAGAGTTCAGGCACTACAACCGGAACCAAAAAAAAAGGTCTCAAGATCCCATCTCAACCAAAGAAAAAGCACAATGGTGCTCATCTGACCTCTCAGTTATGTGGGAAGCATAAACAGGAGCCCAGGCCAGCCTATGCAAAAAGCAAGACCTTATTGAAAATAGCAAAAGCACAAGGAGCTGAGGTGAGAGACAGAGAAAAAGAGAGAGGGGGGGGGAGGGACCCTAAAAGCTAGAACATCCAAAATTAAGAATTGACAATTAGAAAGTCAAAAAAGTCCTGCATCCTCACGCTGGGCTCCAAGAAATGATGGCAAGATGTCTCCTGAATGGAGCTTAATGCAGAGCTGATAGAATTAGTGAACTAGCAATAGCTGATACATACTACCAAACAAACTAGAAAACCTGACTTCAGAGTGACTACCCGCCACTTTTCCATGTGGTCTTGGGGAAGGGATTGCAAACTGTCTTTAAAGGGACATGTGGTAAATATTTTACTAACTCTGTTGTAACTACTCAAATCTGCCCACACTGTACAAAAATGGCCACAATTTGTAAACAAACTAGCACAGCTGTATTCTAATACAGCTGCTTTTCACAAGAACAGGGGGCAGGTCACAGGAGCCTGAGCATGGTTAGAAAACAGGGACGCAGTCGTGGAAGATCACCAGGGCTCAGGGGCTAGAATTTGATCTACACAGCACTCATGAACTGCCAACGTCCCCTTTATTTGCCCCAACCCCCCACTCCCCATGCCCCCCAAGAAGCCAAGATTCCACAGGCATCTCACCAGTTCTAGCCACGGCACGATACAGCTGCTGTGGAAGAGGTGACTGCAGGGAAGCTGCCGGACTGCCTCCTCAACTGTGTAGTCTTCTTTGCATACTGGACATTCTAGGCCCATCTCTGTGGGAGGAAGAAAAACCTCTTAAAGTAAACAAGCAAAGACAAGGAAGAAAAACTAACCCAATGTGTCTACCAAAGCAAGAAATGCATAAAGAAGAGTCGTAAGGAACAAAAATTAAGCCAGAGGCAGGTAAGAAGCATGAATCACTCTGCATTTCAAAATGGGGATAGAGATAGTAGTAAATAGGGAATAAAAAACAAAGATGATGAGAGGAGCCTATCGTAGTAGGCCTTGATAGAACCCATACTATAGGACCATGTTTTAATGCAGGGGTAGAAAAAGTTACCACAGGCTTAGATTATCTGTTAAGTAAAACCAGAAACATTCACACAACTGTGTAGCAGCCTTCTGACAGTCAGTTCCTGATGAGGCAACAGTGGCAAGCTATATAAAACAATGAAGGAACAAACCTATCTTAGCAATTTTTCACTTCCACTCAGTGTCTAAAGAACTTTTGTTTTTTTAGTGCTAGTTCTGGGGCTTGAACTCCAGGCCTGGACGCTGTCCTGAGTTCTTTCACTCAAAGCTAGTGTTCTACCACTTGATCCACAGCTCCATTTCTTTTTTGCTAATTAACTACAGATACGAATCTCACAGACTTTCCTAACCAGGCTGGCTTTGAACCATAATCCTCAGATCTCAGCCTCTTGAGTAGCTAGGATTACAGGCGTGAGCCAACAGCACGTGGTTCAGATTACTTTATCTTGCTCTTTTGCAAATCAGGCATCTTCCTTCAGTGTAGCCACCCTCAAGTCCTCTATAGAAGTTGTAAGTTAGAAGCTAGCCTGGAGGTGGTGCTACTGAATTGCATAGGCCAAGTGTAGCCAAGGCCTCCAAATAAAGTGACAAGAAGCTCTCTTTCCACAAAGGAAATGGTCACAAACTCTACTACAGCAGAAAACTCAGAAATGCTCTGATTTGGCTAATAGTATCAGCAATTCTACATTCCTAAGTGACTGGATACAGATATCCTCCCTGTCCCAAGGGATGGCAGGTATTGAGGGCAGCATCACACTTTCCTTCATTTGTATCTTCAATTCCTTAACTTCAACTTTGTGTGTATTTACAAGCACACATGCACGTACTCACACACTGGCTGGGGCTTCAACTCAGGGCCTGGGTGCTGTCCCTTAGCTTTTTCACTCAAGGCTGGAGCTCTAGCACTTGAACCATACTTCTACTTCTGGCATTTTTGCTGGTTAACTGGAGATAAGAGTTGTGCAGATTTGTCTACATGGGCTGGCTTCAAACCTTCATCCTCAGATTTCAGCCTCTTGAGTAGTGAGGATTACCTGTGTGAGCCACTAGTGCCCACTCTAATTCTAACTTAACTTCTCATGCTAAGACTATTGCCACAGCCTGCCAGGCTGTGTCCCTAGTTTTAAGCCTTTAACAACCCAAATGTGTCCTACCCTTGACTACCAGTTAATTTCCCTGATAGCAGCTTCCGTATGTTTCAGCTCATCTTCCCTTATGTTTCAGCTGGTAGCTAAAAACGACAGCACATCATCTCTTACTCAAACCAGTGCCCACTCCTAAAGGGGATAGCACCATCTTTATAGGTAATAATTGTGAAATCTTAAAATCACCTTTGCTCCTTTCCCTCCTGTATCTCATTACATCATTCATGATGAAAGCCTATTTTTAAAAGGAACTCTTAAATCTACCCTTTCCCTTGTCAGCCCACCACCATCACTAGAACCCACATGCATGGAACAAGTCTCTCTAATCTGTGTCTGCTCCCTCCCCCTCCCAACTATACTTAACCCATCACTTTCCCACTAACCTCCCCAAAGACCACTTAAATTCTGATTCCTTCACTTAGGACCCACAAAACTTACCAACTACCTACATCTGCCTCATCCTCTTACAGTTTCAAGTTCTCTACAAGGTCCCACACTGTCTAGTCATACCTCCCATAATTCCCAAATCAGATGCGATCTCAAGTCTAATAAGGTCATATCCTATATCTAACTCAAACAGCAATTCTATGCTGATATTTTTGGTGGTGGTGGTTGTGGGACTTGGACTCAGGGCCTGGGTGCTATCCCTGAGCTTTTTTTCTCAAAGCTAGCACTCTACCACTTTGAGCCATAGCACCACTTCCAGTTTTCTGGTGGTGAACTGGAGATAAGGGCTTCACAGACTTTCTTACCTAGGCTGGCTTCAAACCATAATCCTCAGGTCTCAGCCTCCTGAATAGCTAGGATTACAGGTATGAGCCACCAGCACCCAGCTTATGCTGACAATCTAAATTAGATCATACTTTCCTTATGCAGAATGATCTATCCTGTTTTTAAATCTTCTTTGACTATAAATTTGAATTTCTAGGGAAAGTAACACTCATTTCAAACTAAAGTCCTTTATCACTAAATCCCTTCAATACTTACAAATAAAATGTATACATTTCAGATATGTAAGTACATCTGACACAAATTCCCAGTTTCTCACTTGTTTTCTTCCCTTTTCCTAAGGCCAGTATCATCTGCCCAACACTGTAAATCATTTTGTATTAATTTTGCTTCCAGTAATAAGTTCCACTCATTAGAATGCAGTCATATATCTTTGTACCCTTTTATTCCCAATAGCACCTAGAAAAAGAACACTGTACCTGCTCAGGCAATACCTCCTATACATTTCATACCTAGTAGCCAGATAGGAATTTTTGGGAACTATAGCTTCACCAGAAGAGTCCTAGTATAGGAAGGTCCTAGAATTTTGAACATAGGTCAGTGGGATGACAGACTAAATATGAAAATGAACCTACCAACTTGTTCCTGAGTTACTGTCACTGTTGGAAGAGATGTGATCTTTTCCTTGTCGGCTGGTGGAGGCCCTGTATTTTCCAGTTGTCCTAAAAGCTACAGATAAAAGAAAGGGGGGTAGGGAGAAGGAGGTGTGAAAGAGGGGGAGAAGAGGGAGGAGGAGGAGAAAGGGAGAGAAGAGGAGGGAGGAGGAGGAATAGAAGGGGAGAGGAGGAAGAGGAGGAGAAGAGAAGGGAGAAGGAAGAGAAGAGTGAGGAAGAAAAGGAGAGGGGGGTTGAGGAGAGGTGGGGAAGGAGAAGCAGACACAGGCAAACATTTCACTATTTCTGGAGAGGTAGCTGCTCCAGCACCGAATAGTGCAGACATTAAAGATGTTAATTCCTCTTAACACCTGAAAGGCTCTGAGGGCCCTAGGTTTCCCCTCCTTTACTTATTATTGCTTTACAATGTTAGAGTGACGTAAATATCAGTTTACAGAGACCCAGGGCTGCAAGGCCCACTTTGGGACCTAGAACAACTTTACAGCAGTAACCAATTGATGTCATGAATAAAATTACAGCTTAATAGAAAGTAATATTTAACTGGTCCAAACACTTTTCTGCTGACAGGAAGAAAAGGAATCAAAGTATGGAGAACAGCATAGAATTAAGTCAAGAAACAGGTAAATTACTGTCAATTAGAAGACCTGGATACCAACAGCATGCTTTCTATTCTCATCCATCCACCAGGGGAAATGAAACAATTAATCCGAGTAAAATGAACAGAAACAGGAGGAATGTGGCCCAGGAATGCCTTTCCTTGGCTCCTGCCTTGTTCATCAAGCAGAAATCCATGCTGTCACATGTGAGGCCCTCTTTACAAGGCTAAGCAAGAAGCCAAAAACACCATACACTGTTTGTTCCAGGAGAGGTCTTTTCTTCCTCTAGAGGTGAAATCATCATCTACAAATCTTGGGCCAACAGATACTGAGCTAATCCATAATCATTTATCTATTCAGTCCAATGGAAGCCCTTATGCCCAAAATAACAGATAAAACAGAGTGACTATCAATTCAAGAAGTAGCAGAAGGAAGCCTGGGAAACCACAAGACCCACTGATGAGACCCACTGGGAAGGCAGCTCCTCACCTGGGTTACAATGGCATCAAGCCCTGTCTGACCCCAGGCATAGTCCCCAGGGTTGGAGTGCAGCATCCCGCTCCTATATATGGGACAAGAAGATAGCATTAGAGGGAGTAACAAGCTCTACCTTACACCTAGAAAACAAGCCAGCTAAGAGATCCTGTTCTCACTCAAAGCTGAAAAAGCTACTAGTTATCTAGAATCAAAAGGCAAAGATACTTCTGTATTTTCAAGGTCAAGCCAATTATCTCGAGATAGCTTCTTATTCTCTACAAATTTTACTAATCTGAAACATAAAATGTGATGTCTAAAATATCATGGCACTCCAAAGCAAAAGGAGTGATTCATAGCCTGTGGGTTAAGAAAAGTTTGTCTTTCCTCTGCCCACTTACATTAAACAGAGATGGAGCTGCTTTTTTAGGAGCTCCTAAAAAATTTAGGAGATTTTCCTTACTGGCTTGCCAGAATCTGCAACAGCCCTCTCTCATTCCAAGAGGCTGCACATGGTCCTGGAAAATGAGAGGTTTTCTAGTTCAGAGCAATGGCGAAAGGGAGTCTTGGGCTGCCGGTGCAGTGTCCTGGAAGATGGGCTGCTGGAGCATGTTCAATGCAATTGGAAGCTGGACAATGATTGAGTCTATGGAAGGACTGAAGTCTCTCTGACCAAAGAAGCCTTCTGAAGCAGAATGAAATCTTTCTGCATATCCAGAGGAGAAACTTGAATCAGATACAAAGTTTGGTAGAGACCATCTCATTGCCCATCTCAACACAACATTCAGAACAGAATGGAAAAGGAATCAAGCCATATCCAAACCATGACTAAGTCTCCTGAGCCTGAAAATAAAAATTAAGTTCTAGCTGGGCACTGGCAGCTCACATCTGCAATTCTAGCTACTCAGGAAGCTGAGATCCAAGATCATTGTTTGGAACCAGCCCGGGCACACAAATCAGAGATTCTTATCTCCAATGAACCAGCAAGAAGCCAGAAGTAGTGTGGCTCAAGTAGTAGAGTATCAATTGTGAGTGAAAAAGCTGAGCATGCATTCAAGGCCTTGAATTCAAACTCTAGTACCAGCACACACACAAACAGTTCTGTTTAAGTTAGGGCTCAGCATTCACTTTTTTTTTTTTTTTTTGTCGGTCGTGGGGCTTGAACTCTGGGCCTGGGCACTGTCCCTCAGCTCTTCAGCTCAAGGCGAACGCTCTACCACTTGAGCTACAGCGCCACTTCCGGTTTTCTGGTGGTTTATTGGAGATAGGAGTCTCACGGTCTTTCCTGACCGGGCTGGCTTTGAACTGCGATCCTCAGATCTCAGCCTCCTGAGTAGCTAGGATTACAGGCGTGAGCCACCAGCGCCCGGCTCAGCATTCACTTTTACAAACTCACCCATGTAGCTTTTTCTTTCCAAAGAAAGAAGCTAAAATGTTAATCCAGCAGAGTGAGATAGGTACCATTAGTTACTTACCAAGAAAAAGGGTGGGGAGATCCAGGAATTGTAGAATTTGCAAAGAATCCTGCAAAGATCTGTTGTATTATTCTGTTAAAGGAGAAAAATAATTCAATAAGACAATACATGAAAGTACTTGACTAATCACAAACTACTGCCTCAAATCACAGGAGATATCAGTCTGCCAGCTAGCAGTATGCACATCTGCTAAGACAACTCCCTGTAAGAGCTCTACAGATTAGTAGATCTGCATGAATTACACTACAAAGGGATCTTACGTCTTGGCAGAGTTTTCAAACTATATTCTTTGGATTTTGGCACTGGAAGATGGGTTAAAAGAGACACTAAACCAGTGAGATTCTGGACCCACTCCCTTTTAACAATGGTAATATATGTGTTTCACACACTGGGTTTTGGGTAAGCCATTGAAGGGCCTTTTTTGGAAGTCTGTTGTTGTTTCAGGGCTTGAACTATCCCTGAGCTTCTTTTGCTCAAGGCTAGCACTCTACCACTTGAGCCACAGCACCACTTCTGGCTTTCTGTTTATGTGGTACTGAGGGATGGAACCTAGGGCTTCATACATGCTAGGCAAGCACTCTACCACTATGCTACATTCCCAGCCAAGAATAACTGTGTTTTAAGGGTGTTTTAGATGACTACATCAAATGACTACAAACACACACCTATCAAGCTAACCATTTAAGATGGTACATGTATCTATTTCTTTTCCTAATCAGCTGGTCTTTGTTACTCAAGAGATATTGGATGATACCTTAGCAAAAGGGGAAAAAAACCTTGAAGAGTGCAGGTACAACTCAGTGGGAAGGCACCTGACTAATACATGTGCAATGTATGATGTCCCAGGTTCAATCTCCCAGCTTCTGAAGGCTGCTAGTAATCCTTGCCATTCCTCTGCTTGTAGACCCATTACCCAAACCTCTTTCTCCACTTTCATGGGCTTTCTCCCCTGTGTCCTCTGGATCTGTTGTCTAAACATCTCTCTCTAAGATTAACAACCACTGGACTAGAGCTCATGCTAACCCAGCATGATCTTGTCTGAATTTTTATCTCTAAAAGACTATTTCCAAATAAGGTCACATTCACAGCTAAGATCTGAACATACTTTCTGGAAGTTATATGCTGCTACCTGCTATAGATGGCGCCCTTCAGCAATCACAGCAGAAAACCAAGGTACAAGACTATCCAGAAAAGATTTGTGGGTGTGGCTTTTGCCTTTTGCATGAATCTCGATGCAGTTCATAGGACATACTACACAGGCAGACAAATCCATGAGACTTAACTCCTAGCTCCTATTAACTAGCAAAAGAACTGGAGGTGTGGCTCAAGTGGTAGAGTATCAGCTTTGAGTGTAAAAAGCTAAGCAGAATACAAGGCCTTGAGTTCAAGCCCTAGTGTACACACACACACACACACACACGCGCGCGCGCGCGCGCGCACACACACACACACAGAGTAAATTATTTCTGTTTTTCCTTTGTTGTTTTGTTTCTTGGTTTTATTTTTTGGCAGTACTGGCTTTTCCTTTTTTTGGGGGGGGGATCTGGTCGTGGGGCCTGAACTCTGGACCTGGGCGCTGTCCCTCAGCTCTTCAGCTCAAGGCTAACACTCTACCATTTGAGCCACAGCGCCACTTCCGGCTTTTTTCTTTTTATTGAGGAATCGAACCCAGGGCCTCATGCATGCAAGGCAAGTGCTCTACCACTGAGCCACCTTTCCAGCCCCTGGCTTTTCCTTTTTTGTTTTTAACTCAGAGCCATTTCAGCCATACTTCCAGCTTTTTTTGCTTTATCTTTTAGATAGGGTTTCTCTTTTAGTTCAGTCTGGGACTGCAATACTGCAATCCTCCTACATATGTCTCCTGCATAGCTGAGATTACTATCATGTGCTACCATGCCTGGCCATCTGTCATATTTCTAATGATCCCAAGCACCTGGTTTTTCATTTGCTTTCCCTAGATGGTCATGACTAAGCATTTATGTATTAAAACACATTTTTTTTTCTTAGCTGTGGGGCTTGAACTCCTGGCCACTGTCCCTCAGCTCTTCAGCTCAAAGCTAGTGCTCTACCACTTGAGCTACAGCGCCACTTCCAGTTTTCTGGTGGTTAATTGGAGATAAGTCTTAGGACTTTTCTGTCTGGGCTGGCTTTGAACCATGATCCTCAGATCTCAGCCTCCTGACTAGCTAGGATTACAGGCATGAGCCACCGGTGCGTAACTTAAAACACATTTTTTAATATATTACTTGCCCTTTCTCTTTTGGAGACTAATGTAATATGCATGCACATGTCTTTTAAAAAGCATGTTTGGGTTAGGCACATGGCTGCACACTAACATCACAAAACTGAGGAAGCAGAATGACAAGTTCAAGGCCAACAGGTAACAAATGAAATATTTAAGCACATCTGACAGACTGCCTAGCCAGAAAAGCCTGAACCCTCTAAAGAAAAGCAAAAATATACCACTGTTACAATTTTTATATAAAACTATATTTAATCAAAAATTATTAGGCACATCAAATGAAAGGGACAGTGACAATAAACTAAGAAAAGATAAATAACGGAAACAGATCCAATGATGATATATAGATATTGGAGTTAATAGGAAGGCAGTATTAATTTGGTGAATAATCACACTTCCAAAAGTGATCTACAAATTCAATGCAATACTATGAAACTACAAAAGGCCTTGAATAGTCAAAGCAATACAGAGCAAAAAATTCCAGATTTCAAACTACTATAGAGCCATAATGACAAAAGTAGGTTGGTACCAGCACAAAAACAATGGAGAAGATTAGAAAAATCAGAAATGAAGCCATATAACTACAGCCATGTGCTTTTTGACAAAGAAGCAAAACAAATGCGTAATATATGCAGAAAAATGTCTATCTTCAACATATGCAGAAGAATATGTGTATCTTTGACATATGCAGAAGAATATGTATATTTGACATGTGCAAAAGACTGAAACTGAGTCCTTGACTGTCATTTTGTACTAATAGTAACTTTTTTTTTGGTCGGCTGTGGGGCTTGAACTCTGGGCCTGGGCACTGTCCCTCAGCTCTTCAGCTCAAGGCGAGCGCTCTACCACTTGAGCTACAGCGCCACTTCCTGTTTTCTAGTGGTTTATTGGAGATAAGAGTCTCATAGACTTTCCTGCCTGAGCTGGCTTTGAACTGCGATCCTCAGATCTCAGCCTCCTGACTAGCTAGGATTACAGGCGTGAGCCACCAGCACCCAGCTTCTAATAGTAACTTAAAGTGTGTCAGAGGGCTGGGAAGGTGGCTCAGTGGTAGAGCGCTTGCCTTGCATACATGAGGCCCTGGGTTCAATTCCTCAGCACCACATAAGCAGGAAAAAAAAAAAAGCTGCAAGTGGCTCAGGTGGTAGAGTGCTAGCCTTGAGCTGAAGAGCTGAGGGACAGAGCCCAGGCCCAGAGTTCAGGCCCCACGACCAGACCCAAAAAATAAATAAATAAATAAATAAAAGAATGTCTGTTCCTTTAAAAAAAAAAAAATGTGTCAGAGACCTCAATGTAAGACCTGAAACTTAAAACTACTATAAGGAGTAGGAAAAACATTAGAACTTATTGCCATAGTCAAGAACTTCCTAAGTACACCAGAAGCTCAGCAAATAGAAGAGAAAATTGACAAATGGGATTGTGTCAAACTAAAAAGTTTCTGCACCATATATAATTACTAATCTAAAAAGATAGCCCACAGAATGGTAGTTTTTCCAACAGCTGAAAAGGGTCTAATAACCAAAATATACCAAGGAGCTCAAAAAACAAAGAATCAATAATTCAATTAATAAATGGGCAATGAAGCTAAATAGACACTTCTCAAAAATAGTAGTAAAAATGGCCAATAAATACATGAAGAAATGTTCCACATCTCTGGCCATAAAGGAAATGCAAATCAAAACAACGCTGAGTAAAGACGTGTATATCCATGTTCATTGCTGTATTATTCACAACAGCCTAGAGGCCCTATAATAGATGAATGTGGTATCTATACACAATAGAATTTTACGCAACCATTAATTAGAAAGAATAATATGTTATTTGAAGGGAAACGGATGGACCTAGAACAAATCATGTTAAGTGAGGTAAGTCAAGCCAAGAGAGACAAATAGCAGTTTCCCTCACATGCAGAAGCTAGATATAAAATACATTGGGACATGATAAACTATACAGGACTAGATACATTCACACACAGTAAGACCAAAGAGGACACTCTTAGGGGAGGAACACAAAGATGCAATGCCTCTATGCCTCTGATCATACAAAATAATATTTAGCCAAATGAAAAAATTAAAAAAACAAAAACAACACTGAGATTCTACCACACTCCAGTTAGAATGGCCATCATCATGAACAACAACAAAGGTTAGTAAGGACTCCAGGGTGGGAGAGCACTAAATTAGTGCAGCCACTATGAAAGACAGTATGGAGAGTCTTCAAAAAACTAAAAACAGAACTACACTATGATCCACTGAAACCACTCAGGCATTTATCCAAAAGATTGCAAGAAGAATATAAGCAAAACACCTGAATACCCATGTTCATAATTGTACTGTTCACCATAGCCAAGTTATGGACACAGCTCACATGCCCTACATGGGTGAATGGATGAATGGATAATTTTTAAAAATTGTGATACAAACACACACAAAACGGAAGAATAATAGTATGCCATTTGCAGGAAAATGGATGGGTCTGAAAAAAAATTACTTTGAGTTTAGTGGATCAGGGTCAGAGAGACAAAGAATATGTGTTTTCTCTCATACATGGAAATTAGATCTATGAAAACACATACAGAACCATATGCATATATACATCATCAGATTGACTTAAAGGTATGGTATATGCAGGGGTGAATTCCCATTATGTAACCCCTTTGAGCAATTAACAGCTTTACAAAATGGATACAAACATAAGACGTTAAGAAAAACGGTTAACAAATATCCCAATGAAGGCTGGGTGCCAGTGGCTCAGATCTGTAATCCTAGAGACTCAGGAGTCTAAGACTTGAGGATTGAAATTCAAAGCCAGACTGGAAAGTACTGGAAGCAGAGTTGCAGCTCAAGTGGTAATGGTAGAATGCTAGCCTTCAACACGAAGGCTCAAGAACAGTGCCTAGCCCTGAGTTCAAGCCCTAGGACTGGCCTATACTAGCTTTATTACCCTGCATTTTATTTCACTCATTAGTAATTGAGTATAGATACTCAATTTAGCTTCATTTTGATTCAGTCAATATATCTTCATCTTGTCCACAAAAATGTATGAGAACCATATGAAGATTAGATTATGCCAACATGAACTTTACTGAAAGCAACCTGAAGAACTCAAAAGCAACAACAACTCACCCTTCAATAGCTGGAGATCTATCAGGACGAGTACTTCCCCGAGACCTGTATCTCCGAGTCACTGGCAGCCTTGGAGGTCGACTTGGCCCCCAGAAGTCAGTGTGAGTTTGGTGACCCCTCTCATTGGCTCTGTTATCGTGGTCCAGTGGGTTGTTACTTAAAAATGGTCTAAAATCTTGGAAAAACATTGTGTGATCCAAATGGCCCCAAAGCTAATAAAAACCAGAAATAAATCACATTAGAAGTAATTTTAACATTTTGAAAGTTAACAGTCCCCCAATACTGGCTTATCTCCCCAAATCTATGGAAGAGAAAAAATATCTTTAAAGTGAATATAGGAGCATAGGGACATAGCTTAGAGGTAAAGAACACTTAGTAGCATACACAAGGCCCAGAGTTGAGATAGACACAGATAATACATGTGCATTTTTGCCACAAGTCTCATCACTATGACAAGGCAGAGACAAAATACTTCTCTTAACGCCTACATCAGAAAGGGAGTACATCAGACTGTGCCAAGGTAGGAATGTCTGATAAGCATACTTGAATATATACTTTTTTTTTTGGCCTATCCTGGGACTTGAACTCAGGGTCTGGGTGCTGTCTCTGAGCTTTTACTTAAGGCTAGTGATCTACCACTTGAAACACAGCTCCATGTCTGGCTTTTTTGGTAGTTTATTAGAGATAAAAGTCCCACAGACTTTCCTGCCTAGGCAGAGCCTCCTGAGTGCTAGAATTACAGGCATGAGCCACCAGCACCTGACAATATAAACTGTTATCAGTAAAAAGGGTTAGACTAGAGAACTGGGTTTGAGAGGAGAATCATAAAGCCAAGGGTAACTGAGGAAAAATATTATCTTAATATAATTATATCTATACACCAGATACTGCCAAAGATCTATAGATTACTATTCCAGTTACCAAGTATGTAATACTAGAGGAACTTGACTGCTTATTTAAGTCAAACAGAAATGCTACATAGTATACATAATATATATAAACAATATATATATATATATATACACATACAGTTTATATATACTTAGCATACCACCTCAGGTCTTGAAGTACTTACAGTCTCTATTCCTTTTTTTTTTGTCGGCCGTGGGGCTTGAACTCTGGACCTGGGCGCTGTCCCTCAGCTCTTCAGCTCAAGGCGAGCGCTCTACCACTTGAGCTACAGCGCCACTTCCGGTTTTCTGGTGGTTTATTGGAGATAGGAGTCTCATGGACTTTCCTGCCCAAGCTGTCTTTGAACCGCAATCCTCAGATCTCAGCCTCCTGAGTAGCTAGGATGACGGGTGTGAGCCACCTGTGCTCGGCTCATATTCTTTTTCTCTTGGGTAAACAACACTTAGGAGTGGAATGATGGATCATCAAGATGTGTTTTACCTTTTAAAAAAAGTTATCTGCTTTCAAGATTTCAGTTATTCTGACAAATATTCAGTGGTAATTTGTTGTGGTGTTAATTTCGCTTCCCTAATGACTGATTATTTCAAGTAGCTCTCTGTATATTTATTTGCTATATGAACACCTTCCTTGGCTCATGCCTGTAATCCTAGTTACACAGGAGGCTAAGACCTGAGGATCACAGTTCAAAACCTGCCCAGGTAGGAAAGTCTGTGAGACTATCTCCAATTAACCACCAGAAAACCTGGTGCTGTAGCTCAAGTGGTAGAGCACTAGCCTTGAGCTGATGAGCTCAGGGACATTCCCCAGGCCCAGAGTTCAAGCCCAATGACCGACAACAACAAAAAAGGAGTTCATTGTCCTTTACTAGATAAATGATCTTTACGTATATTCTTCTATTCCATGGCTTATCTTTTTATTTCATGAACAGAAGTACTTTATTTTGATGTTCAATTTATCAGTTTGCTATTTTATAGATCATGCTTTGGTGACACATATGCCTCGCTGAGATTACAAATGTTCCTATGTTTTCTTTTACAGATGTTACAGTTCTACATGTTACAGTTCTACTATTCATCTTGAGCTAATTCCTATATGCAGCTTACAGTATGTACCCTTATTTTGACATATAAATATCCAATGTATAAAAATTCTTTCACTTGGGGCTGGGAAGGTGGCTCAGTGGTAGAGTGCTTGCCTTGCATGCATGAGGCCCTGGGTTCGATTCCTCAGCACCACATAAGCAGAAAAAAGCCAGAAGTGGTGCTGTGGCTCAAGTGGTAGAGTGCTAGCCTTGAGCTGAAGAGCTGAGGGACAGCACCCAGGCCCAGAGTTCAAGGCCCATGACTGGCAAAAAAAAAAAAAAATTCTTTCACTTAAAAGTCTGTTCTGCAACCTCTAATTCTCAGATGGTTTATCCTTTGTAAACTTAGGATATTGGGCCACAGTGCTAATTTATCTGAGTAACAATCAAATTTTTATTTCCACTCGTTTCACCTCTATCTTTTCAATGATCAACCATCACATGTACTCAGACATACCTAATATAGATTAATAAGTGAACACAAAAGAATTCAAGCTCATAAAATATACATGCTTGATAAATAATAAGTCATAAGATGTATAACTATAACGAGACATAAGAAAAATATTTGTCATATGGTCCTAAGTAAAAATTTAAAAGTAGAAATATATAAATATGTTAAGTGATTCAACTGAAATCAGTTAGGAGGAATGCTTAGAAATACTATTTTAAGCTGGGTGCTGGTGGCTTATGCCTGTAATCCTAGCTACTCAGGAGGCTGAGATCTGAGGATCCTGGTTCAAAGCCAGCCTGGGTAGGAAAGTACATGAAACTCTTATCTCCAATAAACCACCAGGAAACCAGAAGCGGCACAGTGGCTCAAGTGGTAGAGCGCTAGCCTTGAGCTGAAGAGCTGAGGGACAGCACCTAGATCCAAGTTCAAGTTCCACAACTGACCCCCCCCAAAAAAAATACTATTTTAAGATAGATTTTGTTTTGTTTTTGCCAGTCCTAGTGCTTGAATTCAGGGCCTGAGCAGTCCCTGAGCTTCATTTGCTCAAGGCTAGCACTCTACCACTTGAGTCACATCACTACTTTCAGCCTTTTCTGTTTATGTGGTACTGAGGAATCAAACCCAGGGCTTCATGCATGCTAGGAAAGCACTCTACCTACCACTAGGCTATATTCCCAGCCCCAGATTTTTTTTTCTTTTACTTACATCTTTTCTTAACTAAATTTTACCTCATTTGAGACTTCTCTATGAAGACAAAAACTTAATAATGTTTAAAATGTATTAAATATTCACTATGAGGCACACACTGGGTTCTACACACCTAGCATGCATTAACTTATTCAATCTTTACAATGTTCCTATGAGGTAAGTATTATTATTCTCAATCCCCACTTTTTTCCCAAAGTGGGGGAAGGAAAGAGAAGGAGGAAGGAGGGAAGGGAAGGAAAAAGGAAAGAAAGAAGGGAGAAGGTACTAGGAGAGAGGAAGAGAGAGAGAGAGAGAAATATCGAGATTGATTTGAAGTAATTTTACTCAGGTTATACATCCAGTAAGTGGGATCCAGGATTTAACTCAGGGACTAAGTTCTTTGTCACCTCTGTATGACCTAAAAGATCTCTTCCTCTTACTGAACTTGTTCTATATACGCCATAATTAGTGTACTATACTCTTTATTCTCCTGTTTCCCTATTTTTTCTATGTGTTTGTACTTGCTCTCCAGTTAAAATTTAAGTTCTTTGTCAGGAAGGGAGCCATAATATTTACTTCTACCTTTCCGTTAGAAGTATGAAATCAATGACTATAAAACAAACTTACCTTATTTTTTCTGATAACTTCTATATTATAAGGATAGATTTTTCCCCCAATTTTGAAATGTCAAATATAATTTGAAAAAGAGAAAAATGTATATATTGAGCCACAATGGTAAAGGAATTGTACCAAGGGAGAACTAAGCATAATTATACCCCTTACACAAACTCCATCACTACTAAAGAACATGAAGTCACCAACTATGACTCAGTAACTTTAACACCTGAAGGAAGGATAGCTCATGTCATCCATGTCAGATTTAGCATTACTAAAGTTAGGAAACTGACCACTTCTTACTCAGTGCATATCCTCCTTATGAGTCATACCTGTAAAACAAGACAGGCCAATCTATTTCCATTTCCTAAGAGAGTACTTAAAATCAAACCAAGTTATCTTCTGCACATCTATAGTCAGAAACTGACAATCTGTGTTATCAGAAATAGCACACACAGGGGAAATGCTAAAATCAGAAAAGCTTCAGGCCTTTGAAGTAGATCAAATTTTACATTTTTTTCAATCCATCAAAATGAGAAAAGTAAGAGTTCAAAAGACATGATATCTTTAATAAACTCATTTATTACTGTTAATATTATGCTCACCTTGGGTCCTCAGCTCCACCCACACCTGGGCCCCCTCCCATTCCTGGAGTTCCCGCCATACAGCTGGCCCCTCCCTCTCTCCACCCAGACCCACCTGCACTCCCATCTACCTCCCTTCCTATTCTCCAGACCCTCCTGCTACCTGGATGGGGATGGAGGCCATGTGCTCTCTGTCTTGGGGGAAATATGGATCCTCTAATAAACCTTATAATAATCTTTCTCCTGTGCCTGCCCGCCTCTGCATGGTACCCTGGGATGGCTGTGTCTGATCCTCTTTCAATTACTAAGGCAGTGCAGAATTAACAAAAAACTTAAAGCTACATATTACTGCCACAACCATAAGCAATGCCCTTAATAAAACAAGACTCAAGTTTCTTGACTATAACACCATCAAAATCTGAAGTTCCGCAGGAAATTATCCATTTTCCTCAAGATAATTCTCAAAGAATATAAAAGATAGAAACTTAGAGTTGTGTTTTTGTTTTTGTTTTTTTGGTGCCGGTCCTGAGCCTCTTTTTTTGTGCTGTCCCTGAGACTTTTTTTGCTCAAGGCTAGCATTCTACCACTTGAGCCACAGTGGTAGTTGGAGAGAAGAGTCTCACAGGGACTTTTCTGCCAGGACTGGCTTCGAACTATAATCCTCAGATATCAGCCTCCTGAGTAGTTAGGATTACAGTATGAGCCAACTGCACAGGCTTTAAATACCATTTTTAAATGGTACTCAAGGGTAAAGGTGGATGACCTGGCCCTATGCTCAAATCATAGTATTTTTGTTTTTCTAAAAATAAAGATGAGGGCTGGGAATATGGCTTAGTGGTAGAATGCTTGCCTAGCATGCATGAAGCCCTGGGTTCGATTCCTCAGCACCACATAAACCAAAAAAGTGGGAAGTGGCACTGTGGCTTAAGTGGTAGAGTGCTAGCTTTGAGCAAAGGAAGCTCAGAGACAGAGCCCAGGACATGAATTCAAGTCCCAGGACTGGGAAGCAAAATAAATAAATATGAATATGCAATGTACAAACAAGCTAAAACTAATTCAAGACCCTTAATCTATATCAAACTACCATATTGACAAGGGGTAAATTCTTTGCTTTTGTTTTTGGTCCGGTCATGGGGCCTGAACTCTGGGCCTGAGCACTGTCCCTCAGCTCTTCAGCTTAAGGCTAGTGCCCTACCACTTGAGCCACAGCGCCACTTCCGGCTTTTTTCTTTTTGCTTATGTGGTGCTGAGGAATCCAACCCAGGGTCTCAGGCATGCAAGGCAAGCGCTCTACCACTGAGCCAACTTCCCAGCCCGACAAGGGGTAAATTCTAAAAACAAGAACTGTAGGGTGGTGACGATGGCTTTGCTACAACTAAGTTAATATCTCATCCTGATATGCTCTTTCTGTACCTAGTTGTCATGATACTACAATAGAAGCTGCTACATCATTTCAAAGGTAGCACAAACTTTTTCCTCTTATGCCACACAAACAATGAAGAAGCAGAAAAGGAAAACACTACCAGGTTTGAAATGGTAGAGCTCAGAGCTATTATCTTTCTTGTAATCAAGGATTTTTCAAAAGCAGCATGTCAAAACGCCAGCAAATGAAGCACAGATCTTTCCCAGGGCTACTCTTGCTCACATTCTTTCTTATATATCCAGGTAAACTTAAATGTTTTACCCTACTGGGAAGTGCTTATCTGTCATGATGATAACATCCACCCACTTCCTATAGCATCCTTATAGCCAAGGAAAAACTTACCTCGGCAAAATGTGTTGATGTGCTATTGTCTATCCGGCTGCCACCACCACCTAAAAAACTAAAGAGAAAAAGAAATGATGGCAATTCTATTCCCAGAACAAGCTCCCTGCCCAGAAGCTAAATATAGAATGGCATAATGAGAACAAAGCTCAATAAGGAAAAACAACTCATCCCAACAGGACCCACAGAAGAAATTATAGAGCTGGTCACTCAAGCCTGTAATCCTAGCTACTCAGAAGGCTGACACCTGAAGGATTACAGTTCAATGCCAGACTAGGCAGACATGTCTTTGAGATACTATCTCTAATTAACCAGAAAAATGCCAGAATGGAGGCCAATCAAGAGCTGGACGCCTTCAGTTCAAGCCTCAGTGCTAGCACAAGAAACAAATTGTTTTGATTTTTTTTGTTTTTTTAAATGAAGACTGGCATGTAGTTTGATTTATGAAAAATGTAACAAGTTATAAAATCAAGTAGTTTTCAAGAGAATAAGTGTTAAATCAAATGAAAATCTGAGGAAAGGGGCAGCCCCATAAAGAAAGACCTACAACCAGCAATGTAATTCAAATGTGACTTACCAAAATAAGAAAAAGATTTATTCTAAAATAGGCTAAGAGGGGCTAGGTGGTAGAGTGGGGCTTAGTGGTAGAGTGCTTGCCTAGCATGCATGAAGCCCTGGGTTCGATTCCTCAGTACCACATAAACAGAAAAGTTAGAAGTGGTGCTATGGCTCAAGTGGTAGTGTGCTAGCCTTGAGCAAAAGAAGCTCAGGGACAGTGACCAGGCCCTAAATTCAAGCCCCAGGACTGGTGCAAAAGAAAACATACACACACACACACACAATAATAATAATAAATAGGCTAAGAAAATGTTTCACTAAAAACTACTCAATCAGATTATTGATTTTAAAGTTAATTTTGGGGGAAAGGTTTAAACATAGTAATACAAAGGGTAATAGAATTGCGCACATCAGAAAAGAGGTCAGTAAGTATTTAGTCTTCTTCAATTAATCCTACCCACCCTTTAGCATTCAGCCTAAATGCTGCTTCCTCCACTGAAATCAATCCTGAAGTCTCCAACCAAATAAGACTTCCATACCAGTCTGACTTTGGTTCTAAATTCTACCTTGTATTATTATAAATAGCTAGGATTTTCCTCATCTATTTCAACCTTTTTCTCTCTTTTCACAAACATGAGTGTATATTATGTGTCAGACATTAGAGTATTCATTAACACATCCTATAATAAATCAAAACTGTAAGCTGAATTAGTAACGCATGTATATATGATAAAATACCCATTCTCAAGGATCCTGAAGAGTAGAAAAATAGTAAATACCATTGTCACTATGAAATTTGCAAAACTGGATAACACTCTTAAGAAAAAGGGACAGAATGAATCATAACTCCAAAAGACAAAACATAAATGTACATACACAAAAGCACCCAATGACACAAAATCCAGAAAGTGCTTCAAATAGCAATAGCTTTAATTTTCAAAATTCCCATACCAAACCAGCCATTGCTGTGCCCAGTAAGCAAATAAACATGCCTGGTTAGTCCAAACCAAAAACAATATGCCAACTTCATAAAATCATTCTCAGGCCTTACTCTCCACTTAGAAACCATTTAACACATGTTTGCTTCAGATGCTAATGCTTTTGTAAAAGGTGTTTCAGCTCACAGTAAACCCAAAATACCTGTACATTTATGCTAAATAGTTAAAACTAAGCCATGCACCAGTGGCTCACACCTATAATCCTAGCTACTCAGGAGGCTGAGATCTGAGGATCATGGTTCAAAGCCAGCCTGGGCAGGAAAGTCTGAGACTCTTATCTCCAATAAACCATCAGAAAATTGGAAGTAGCACTGTGGCTCAAGTGGCAGAGCACTAGCCTTGAGTTGAAGAGCTCAGGGACAGCGCCCAGGCCCAGAGTTCAAGCCCTACAACCAAGGGGGAAAAAAAAAGCAGCTCAGGGTCAGGCTGGGAATGTGGCTTAGTGGTAGAGTGCTTGCCTAGTATGCATGAAGCTCTGGATTCAATTTCTCAGTACCACATAAACAGAAAAGTTGGAAGTAGTGCTGTGGCTCAAGTGGTAAAGTGCTAGCCTTGAGCAAAAGGGGACAGTGCCCAGGCCCTGAGTTCAAGCCCCAGGACTGGCATTAAAAAAAAAAAAAGGGCTGGGAAGGTGGCTCCGTGGTAGAGTGCTTGCCTTGCATGCATGAGGCCCTGTGTTTGATTCCTCAGCACCACATAAATAAAAAGAAAAAAGCCAGAAGTGGCACTGTGGCTCAAGTGGTAGAGCGCTAGCCTTGAGCTGAAGAGCTGAGGGACAGCACCCAGGCCCAGAGTTCAAGCCCCACAACCGGACCAAAAAAAAAAAAAAAAAAAAGCTCAATGCCAGTCCTATGTCTGAGTTCAAGCCCCATGAGAGACAATAAAAACCAAAACTCTTTACAACTGACTGAAGGGAACTAATCATAGAGAACAGAAAATAAAAAACATGTTGTTCTGAGACATTTTACAAAGCTTAAAAATTCTGCTGGGCATTGGTGGCAGAAAAGAAGCTAAGCAAGAAGAGTAAGGTTCTAAGTTCAACCCAGTTAAACACACACACACACACACACACACACACGCACATGCGCGCACGCACACACACAGAGCAAACAAAATTTTACAAGCTTCTCCTCTAGATATATGTTTAGATGGAACCTGCTACTCCTTGTTTACCTGCCAGGGTTTCCTCTTAATATTTTACCTATTTAAGGACTTCCTCTTCCAAATTTTACCACCCACCCCTAACCACTATAATTGCTAAATACTTAAATCAGCACTTGTCCATTTTATAGAAATATCATGCTGCCTGTAAGATACTGATTCTAAGAAAAAGATCTTTCCCTCCTTCCCTCCCTTCCTCCCTTCCTTTTGTGGGTCATAGGACTTGAACTCAGGGCCTGGATACTATCTCTGAGCTTTCTCAGTCAAGGCTAGTGCTCTACTACTTTAAGCCACTTCCAGTTTTCTGGTAGATAATTGAAGACAAGAATCTCACAGACTTTCCTGCCCCAGCTGGCTTTGAACCATGACCTTCAGATCTCAGCCTCCTGAGTCCCTAGGATTACAAGTGTGTTCAACCATCACCTGGCAAGTTCTTTCATCATTTAACACACTGATTTAGTCTGCCCTCACATTCTGCATTTCAAGCAGGAGATGCTTCTCCTTCCCTTTTCTATTTTCTTCTACTCTGTCCTGCTTTGTTAAGCTTAAAAAAATAAATACAAACATTGATTTATTTCAAAACACATAATCTTTATATTTAATTAGGTACTATTCTACAAAAGGACATATAAAAGAATTAAAAGTCAAGTGAGAATGGAATCCATAGAATTCAGAGATAAGGATTCATCCTGCAGTTAATAATTTATAACTGCACTCTGTACAAAAGTACTATCGGCTTAAAGAAACTAGGATTGCTATTTCAATACTCAGGGAGAAAAGTCCATTAATAACTTCTCTATAACCAAAATATTCTCAACACATGCAGAGCTTAAGTGCCTGAAATAAGTATTTGATGCAATTATAACAGCACAAATAAAAAGCTCCTCCAAGTTAGCATGCCATCTCCACACAATGTTGCTTATTTTGCGGTCATGCTAATCTTACAGGCTCAGTTTTGGTACTGTTACTTAAAACCAAGATTATTATCAACATTCAAGTGTTTGTAGCAAACTAGATTCCATGCCACATACTGCCCCAGAACCTCCAACTCAATTAAACATACAATTACCAATTATTAACAAAGTAAAACTCACAGTACATACTGTAAAACGTGTAGTTTTTCCTGGTTGTGGAAGGGACCTTCAACTTTAGATTCTGCCAACAGCAACAGTAAAGGAATTATCTCCTACTATTAAAATCCTCAGTCACTTCAAGATTAAGAAGCTTCAGATCATAGATTCAACTGTTCAACCAATTTTACACCAGATAGCCAAAAGAATAAATGTGCCATTATATTTAGCAATATATAAATAAACAAAGCTAATAGTAGTATAGTATTTAACAATTGGGTTTTATAGTTTTATTCATATTAATCAAGCAATATATATTGTTACCTTGAAAAATGTTTTCTTCTTATCATTTTATATCTTTAGTGAAGCTACTAGGAACAAATTCCAAGCATGACAACTTCAACTAACATTACAGGAACAAGACGGAAAATGTCTCCCAATAACCTAAGGCTTTAAAGCTTCCTCAAAGCAGAGGACATCCCTTTTGACATCCATGCCCAGAATATTTGGTTTAGCTTATTAGATGTCTCCATCAGAAGTTGCTTCCTAGCCTACTACAGATGTGTAACAGAAATCTGCCTTCAGATAACAAAGTGGTCACTAAAAGCTAACGAATAATCTAGAAGAAAACCAAAGTCTACGAAAACTTACCAGTTTCTATTTCTGAAATAGCCAAAGTGGTTTTCTTTCTTTTTTTTTTTTATTTGTGAAGATACTGTACAGAGGGGTTACAATTACATGGGCAGGATAATGCGTACATTTCTTACCAAGCATTGCAGCCTCCTCCTTTTGTTTACCCTTCACATCCCTTCCCAGCCTCCCCCCTCCCCCGCCAAAGTGGTTTTCAAGGAATGACACAATCAGGATCAGTGGATCGTACCACAACAACTACTACATCATTTTCTAAGTTTTCCTTTCCTTTCCCTGTCCTATTCTTCTGCTCTTTCTTCCTTCTCACCACACATACACTGTATTCACACTCATTCTCTCTCCCTCTCTCAAAAGAGTAGAAGCTATAAAACAAATTCTTCCAATCCACTTAGTCAATGCTAAGAGAAAATAGTTTTGTTAACAGAATGCTTAATTTTTATTCATAAACTTATACAATACCTGGAATCATCTGTCACTTCTTCAATAAAGCCTGATTCACATCTGGGACATATATATTCCTATAAAAGAAAAAACGGAAAAAGTGTTTCTCATTAGGAAGAGAAGTATGTAATAACAGTACACAAGATGCTACTTTGGACCATTCTGTGCACTTGATTCCCAAAGTATTTTTGTTTCTCTGTTACACTCTGCCACATAAAGAATTTTGTAAGTTATCTGCAGAATGGTTTTGTAGTTACCTAAGTGGTTCTCACTGAGAGATGAAAGGGCAAGTAAAAAATATTTGTTTCTCTGGGTTTATATGTTTTATAATTTGCATTGGTTGTTTTTTGTGTGCATTATTTGGTTTTGTGTGGGGTGACAGAAGTGGGATGGCTGGTTTATTTTTTTTTAACTGGAATGAATTCATCCAATTTTCTTTAAATCTAATGAGAAAGCTTATATATATACATATATATCAGCACAGTAAAAGATATTCTTATTAATGGGTTGTTAATTATTAATAGAAATTGCAATATTTACTCTGTACATATAGGAAAGAAACTGAATCACAATTTCAATCAGTCTGTACACTAGGAAATTACAATAAGGCTTTACATATTTCTAATCTACTTTCTGATTACCAATGGCTCCAAATAAAGTTTAATAGTTATTTTATAGAAACAATCATTCAAATAACCACAACCATTCTGTGTCATGAGTTGGTAATTCTCACACTGTTTCTGACCTTTTCATTACATTCAATTACAGTGATGGTGGTGACTAGGTCAGTCTTTGATGTTACTACTGTAACTGTTATGTTATGCCACAGCTCCACATAAAGCACTGCTTCACTGTGTATTCTGACGGCCCCTCTGCCCTTCTGGCCCTTTCCTCTGGCCTCCCTGTTCCTTGATGTGTAACAATACTGAGGTTAGGCCAATTAATACCCCACAAAATAGCCTCCAAGTGTTTGAATAAAAAGAAGAGCTGAACTACTCCTCTTTCTAGTTTTAAATAAAAAAACTAGAAATGATTAAGCCTAGCGAAGAAGGCATGTCAAAGGCTGAGACAAGGGCTGGAAGGTGGCTTAGTGGTAGAGTGCTTGCCTAGCATGCATGAAACCCTGGGTTCCATTCCTCAGTCCCACATATACAGAAAAAGCCAGAAGTGGCGCTGTGGCTCAAATGGTAGAGTGCTAGCCTTGAGCAAAAGCTGCTCAGAGACTGCACCATTTGGACACTTCCAAATGACAACTACTCTTTCCCATTACTAGCATAAAGCCTAATTTTACTTTGATTACAGCAAAAAGAAGTCAAACTTTTTATATGTTCTGTTAATTCTTGATAAAAGTAAAGAATTATAAAACAAACCACAATTGTTGACTATCCTTTCACATCAATATTATAGGAGATACAGAGAACTTTCCAGAATTTACAAGCTCAGTGGGCACTGGTGACTCACACCTGTAATCATAGCTACTTAGGAGATTTGATATCTAAGATAGAACCAGCCCAGGCAGAAAAGTTCAATGAGATGCTTATTCCCCACTAAGTAGCAAAAAAAAAAAAAAAACTGGAAGCAGAGCTATGGCTCAAGTGGTAGAGCAGAGTATCAACCTTGAATGAAAAAGTTAAGGGACAGTGTCCAGGACCTGAGTACAAGCCATAGTACTAGCACAAAAGAAAATAGAAGAACCAGTTTTCAAAAACAGACAACTCAAGGATTATAAGTAGTAGAGCACTTGCCTAGCATGTAGGACGTCCTTCATAGATAACTATTCAATTTAAATACTTAGACCAATAGAAGTGACTTAACTTCTGGTCTCAGTCTCTTAAGAATACTAACATTCACAATCTTCATCACTTTATTCCTCCATTTCAGGCCACAACTGAACACTGACATCATCAGGGACTTCAATAATCAGTCAGCCTTCTTTAGCTCATTGTGAACCAAGGCAGAAAATCAGGTCACAGGACAAAGCGTTACTTGATGTAAGCTTGACCAGAAGCACAATAAGCCAAATATTCTAAGAAGAAGAAAAGAAGAAAAACTAAACTATAAAATTTAATCAGAAAATGTTAACTTCATACAATACAATCTAACCAGAAAGGATTTAGTTACATGTGCTTACTCATACTAAAGGTAATGAAGAGAATAACGAGGATCATAAAATGCTTGAAATATATCACATAGATGGAAAAATGACAAATGATCCATAAAATAACAAATCTTCAGCTCTGATGTGTACCACCATAGTTCAGAGGCAAAACTTAGAATCTTCTTTCATAAACTGACAGTATTCATTCATACAGCAAATATATCCTAAATTCGTTCATCCTAAGCACTGTAAAAAAAGTAACTTGGGCTGGGTACCAGTGGCTCATGCCTGTAATCCTAGCTAAGATCTGAGGATCATCATTCAAAGTCATCCCAGACAGGAAAGTCTATGAGACTCTTATCTCCAGAAGTGTTGCAGTGTCTCAAGTGATAGAGTTCTAGCCTTGAGTAAAAAAAACTCAGGGATGGCATCCAGGCCCTGAGTTCAAGCCCCATGATAGGTACAAAAACAAGAAACAAAAGTAACCTGAGATTAAAAGTCATGGAAATCACCTACAATCATCTAGGGTCTATTAAAAGAAAAAAGAAAAGACACTTCCACTAACTCTATTCCAATAATAAGAAAAGTAAAAGCATATAAAATATGCTGGGCACTGGTGGCTCACATCTGTAATCTTAGCTACTCAGGAGGCTGAGATCTGGGGATCTCAGTTCAAAGCCAACAGAGGCAGGAAAATTTCCAATTAACCACCAGAAAATCGGAAGTGGTGCTGTGGCTCAAGTGGTAGAGCACTAGCCTTGAGCTGAAATGCTGAGGGACAGTGCACAGGCCCAGGGTTCAAGCCCTATGACTGACCAAAGTAAATAAATAAATAACTTATTTGAATATCCTAATTTAAGCGTTGAACTTTAAAATATAAACTCTTAAGGGCAATGAATCTGATGCCAAACAAAGCTGGCCTGGTAATCATTTCACTATGTATATGTATATCAAAACATGCTGCCCACCTTACACACACACACACACACACACAACCTCCCCAAAACAAAACCAAATAAACCTTAGAACAATCTTTTTGCACCTAACCTAAACTGTATTGAAACTAAGAACAATGCAAATTATTTCTATTTTAGAAAAGGCCCTACTTCTCTGTAAATAAGGGCTGTTCATCCTTACACAGCCTTTCAATCAGGAGTACATAGCTCCATTCTTAAGAATGCTCTCATTCAAGCTTGTAATATATATGCGTATCATTTTGCAGTGGGGTATATTAAGGTAAACCGAGAGGTTAGATGACTCAACTCCAGTCACACAAAGAAGCAATAATGAAACAAGACTACTTTATGAACCAAGAATCTGAAAAAGTTAAAAATTTAAGCACAAATCTCCCAAGCTCATAAAACTTCTAAATAGTTATGAAAAACAAACGTAAAACATGATTGATACTAAAGTCAGTTATAGAAAGAGTAAAAACATGAAGATTATTCTTTTTGTTTTATTTTTAAATTGGAATTTCCAGCTGTTTTTACTAAATGACACGCAGTGTTATTAATTCTTTCCCAACTGGCCAAAAAAAAAAAAAAAGGATACCTGTAAAAGTTGTCACACAGAGTATAACTTGAGATGGGTGATCCAATTCCTCTGGTCTCACTAGCACAAGGAAAGAAAGTGACCCCAACATACACTGCCCTAGCCACCAACTACTGAGCCTTAGTTTCTGTTCTCAATAATCCTTCCCATGGGGGCTTTGGCTAAAATTATCTTACTGAAAATTCTCATCAGGATCCAAATTAAGAAACCAAAGCGACCCTGGGGGTGGGGAACACTTAAAGCATGACTAACACATGAAGACAATGGCTATGGCTATCCTTTCACTCACAGGTTCTCAACCTCAGCATTCTTGACATTTGCTGTGAGTGTGGTCCTATGCTTGTGGACAGAATGCATCCGGAAGCATCCAGCTTTTACTCACTAGATAGTAGTTGCGATCCTCCAAACAACAACCCTCTAGTTGTGGAAACAAAACTGTCTACAGCCAGGCATGGTGGTATACACCTGTAATCGCAGCACTCAGTAAGCTGAGGCAAGAGGATCTCAGGCTCAGGAGCATACTGGGCTACAGAGCAAGTCCAGCCTGGGCTCAAACAAACATCTACAGACATTGCCAAACGTCTCCCTAGGGAGCAAACTGCCCCTAGTGGAACCCTCTACTCTACATTATATCCTTTATTGTTCACTACTAAGCTGTGCAGAGATAAAACAAAAGCTATTATCTATACCCCTTCCTTTTGCTCCCCCACTCCCCATTTCCTGTGCTTGAACTCAGAGCCTGGACCACTGTCCCTGAGAGCTTTCAGCTCAAGGCTAGACCCCTACAACTTGACAGACTTCTACCACTTGAGCCATAGCTCCACCTCCAGCTTTTTGGTGATTCACTGGAGATAGTCTCAGAGTTTCGTGCCTGGGCTGGTTTGAAACTGCAATCCTCAGATCTCTCCCTCCTGAGTAGCTAAGATTAAAGGCATGAGGTGCTGGAAAGGTGGCTCAGTGGTAGAGCGCTTGACTGCATGCATGAGGCCCTGGGTTCGATTCCCCAACACCACATATGCAGAAGAAAAAAAAAGCTGGAAGTGGCACTGTGGCTCAAGTGGTAGAGTGTTAGCCTTGAGCTGAAGAGCACCCAGCTGGGACAGCACCCAGGCCCAGAGTTCAGGCCACACGACCGGACCCCCCCCCAAAAAAAAATTAAAGGTGTGAGCCACCACACCCACTTCACATACTTATTTTGAAACCCTTGGCTATAGAGAAGAGGAAGCAACTAAATCTTCTAATTCTTCAAAGCTGATTGCTTGAAAGACCTCAGTAACCTCTCCCTGAACAAAAGGTCATAAAAACCCAACTAAACCTAAAGAAATCCAAAGTCTGACACCTAGCTGTTTTCCCCCAAAAAACAAGGAATCTCATGTGCAGTAAGTTTAAGACTTTTTTCTTCCTCATACATACTGAGAAAGTCCCAACAAATTTCATTATCTATGTGTGTTTACTTGTCAGCAAAATTTCAAGGCTATAATAAACATATTCATTAGAATATACATGCACATACTGAAACTATAGGTTCAAACACAACACCCTCATTTTATACCAGTGTAGCCTTAAAGATCTCAAAATACTAAAGCTACTACTACCTGTTAAGGGAAGGGGGACATGGCTCAAGTAGTAGAATATTTGCCTAGCAAGAGCAAGGCCCTCAGTTCAGTCCCCATACTGGGGACTGAGAGCTTGCTAAAGGCAAGGGCTTTAGCGCTTAAGCCTTACTCTGAGTCCTTAGCTAATCTTATGGTATGGCTAGGATGTTTTTCCTGTTTAGCTCCTGGTAATGTGCCAAACTAGGTAGATTAACATACTTTATTGATAAGGATGACCTTTTCTAATCAGAGAAGGTGAGATAATATTGGGGAGATGTAAGAAATATGCTGTAGCTCTTAACTCATCTGGTCTCCCCCATCTGGGTCTAGAAGATCCTTGATCCCAAAACATACTTCAGAACCAGCCTCATCTGTGACTTATGTCATTTATGTAATGATGACTACCAGACTCAAACTCACGACCTTGATAGAGAAGGGCAGGGTATGAGAGGACAGTGACATTCATATCGCAGCCATCTGGTACACTGCCCACCCAGTCATCCCTGATATACAATAGTAATAACCCCATTGGTCTTGGCTTCACATTGTTCCTCCATGGGATACATAGTTAGACAAGATAAGGGTTTCTGGGGAATTCCTTTAAGTATTTCTTCTGATGACCAAAAAAATACACAATGCCATCTTATGCCATGCATATATATTAACATGAAATTCAAGGACATCAGACCATTTTATCAAAATCTTTCATTTTGAAATCCAAGCTCTGTGGGGCTCTGGTAGCTCAGGCCTGCAATAGGATTAGGACTACTCAGAAGGCTAAGATCTGAGGATCACAGTTTGAAGCCAGCCTGCTCAGGAAAGTCCATGTGAGACTCTTATCTCTAATTAACCATCTGAACACCAGAAGTAGAGCCTTGGCTCAAAGTGGAAGAACACTAGCCTTAAGCAAAAGTGATCTAGGGCAGTGGTGGGCCCTGTATTCAAGCCCCACGACTGACAAAAAAATTAAACAAAAACCTAAGGGTAATCTCAGGGTAGGCTACAGCTGCTGCCTGCATCTGCTTTCAACTGTACCAAAAAGTGCTACACCCTAATTTGAGAAACAGAGAAGAAATAAGTTGTACAACCACAGGATCCTAGTCCAGCTGAAACATACACATGGCTTGGCTAGATGGTGAATAAACTTGGTAACACATAAAACAGCTCTGAAAGCAATCCTTCCCACTGAGGGGACAGTAAAAGCTGATCCAGGGCTTTGGATGTAGCACTTGCCTAGCATGCCTGAGGCCCTGCATTCAATCCCCAGCCCAGAGGAACAAGAGAGGGACTCAATACCCAGTCTCTGTGGTTCAATGAGAACAGCACTCATGAGTGATGGATTTTTGACATCTAAGTACCATAACAAGAGCCAATTACCTCTAGAGTTGCAAATTCAGTTACAATGAAAACCTTCAACTCTGATGAACTGCCTGGCTATCCACAGAAAGGTAGCCAGATCTATATCGGTTATTCAGTTCTAGAAACTATGTAGGCAGGTGCTGGTGGCTTCATGCCTGTAATCCTAGCTACTCAGGAGGCTGAGATCTGAGGATCACAATTCAAAGCCAGCCTAGGCAGGAAAGTCCGTGACACTCTTATCTCCAAATTAACCACCAGAAAATGGAAAATGGTGCTGTGGCTCAAATGGTAGAGTGTTCACCTTGAGCTGAAGAGCTGAGGGACAGCACCCAGGCCCAGAGTTCAAGCCCTATGACAAAGAAAGGAAAGGAAAGGAAAGGAAAGGAAAGGAAGGGAGAGAAAGAAAAAGAAAGTAGGGAAGGAGGGAAGGAAGGAAGGTAGGGAGGGAGGGAGGAGAAAGAGAAAGAAAGAAGAGAGAGAGAAACTAGGTAAGTTTACCTTATGTGGGGTAGGGTACTTGAGAGTGAAGGAATCTCACATTTACATAAAACATCTCTAAGAAAAAACCTCCCCACTGGACATAAGCAGTTAAAGCCTGTTTATTAAAACCACACAGCAGGTAGAAAACAGGAAGATCACAGTTCAAAGCCAGCTAGGCAAGAGTTTAAGAGACCTTCATCTCAAAAGAAAAAAAAAAAACTGGGCATGATGATGCATGTCTGTCATTTCAGTGGAAAATAGGAAGATCACAGTCCACATAGGCTAGGCAAAAATGTGAAGCCCTATCCCAAAAATAACCAAAGCAAAAAGGACTTGAAAGAATAGCTCAAGTATAATTTTCCAGTCTTGTCCTATATAGTAACGATGCATCATATGTTGGTCACATTGCCAGTATTTACAGAAGCAAATTTGTATTGAACGAGACAACTCACCTGGCCATTTTTATAAACAACATTTTCAGGACAACTACCTGGTATTAAGGATATAGAAACAACCAGCAATCTCATTAATATACTGCTGCACCCTTTCTTAAAAAAAAAGACATAACAACCCTGATTTAGTACCCTGCAAGTCATGTGACTATAGTTAATAACAATATATTAAAATTTTTAAATTTATATTAAATTTTAAAATATGTAATTTGAAAACTGCTAAAACATTTAAGTTCATTTAAGTATACATTTTAAGTGTTCTCATCATAAAAGATGTGAGGCCGGGTGCCAGTGGTTCACACCTGTAATCCTAGTTACTCAGTAGGCTGAGATCTGAGGATCACAGTTCAAAGTCAGCCCAGGCAGGAGGAAAGCCTGTGAGACTCTTACCACCAATTAACCATCCCAAAAACGGGAAGTGGCACTATGGCTCATGTAGTAGAGTACTCGCCTTGAGCTGAAGAGCTCAGGGACACGCCCAGGCCCAGAGATCAAGCCCCACGGACAAAAAAAAGAAAAACAAAAAGATGTGAGTTAATGTAAATGTTAAATAATCTGAGCCATTCTACAACATTCATCCATCCAACATCAAATGTTCCATATATATATATATATATATATATAATTTTACTCGTCACTTATAAAAAAAGGCAAACTACAATGACTTACTAGTGATTACTTCGGTCTCTTTGATACACTCAATCTGAATTGTGCCTCTCCTTCAAAATTCCCACCTCACATTACCCAATGGCACCAATGCTATCAATCATATGCCCCATCTCTGAAACTGAAAACACTTATTATCGACCTTCATTCACTTTATTGTCAAGCACTAAGTAACCTTTTAGTCGATAACTGACTATATATAGACTGGATATTGCCTAGCTGGGTGTAGGGTACACACTTCTAATCCCAGCACTCAAAAAGAAGAGGTAGGAAGATCATGAGTTCAAGCTACTGGAGCTACATAGAGAGACCTGGTTTCAAAAAAATCAAAGGTGGGGCTAGGTATGTGGCTTAGTGGTCGAGTGCTTGCCTAGCATGCATGAAACCCTGGGTTCCATTCCTCAGTACCACATAAATAGAAAAAGTCACAAATGGCACTGTGGCTCAAGTGGTAGAATGCTAGCAATGAGCCAAAGAAGTTCACGGACAGTGCTTAGGCATGAATTCAAGCCCCAAGACTGGCAAAAAAAGAAAAAGAAAAAAAAGACAATCAATCAGTCAATCAAGGGTTAGGGATTGTAGCTCAGTGGAAGACATGCATGTTTACCATCTGTAAGGACCTGGGTTTGACTTTCAGCACTGCCCCTGCATCCCTTTCCAAAACAATAGGGTACAGTAACTCAAGCCTTTAACTATCTGACAGGCAAAGATGGGGAGACCACAGTTCAGGTTGAGCCCAGACTACATAACTGGAATTCTATGAATTCAGGAGTCTGAGATCTGAGGATTGTGGTCCAAAGTCAGGTTGGGCAGCAAAGTCCGAGAGACTCTATCTCCAATTAACCAGTAAAATTTGGGAGTGGGTGTAGCTCATGAGGTAGAGCATTAGCCAAGAGTGAGTGAAAAAGCTGAGTGAGAAGCTCTGAATTCAAGCCCAGTACCTCCTAAGCACACAAAAAAGAAAAGGTGGGCTGGAGACACCACTTAAGTGGTAGAGTACCAGCTAAGCAAGCGTGAGGTCCTGAGTTCAAACCCCCACAAGTTCTCCAGATCCCATTTTGAACAATGTCTGAGCTCAGTAATACACATTTATAATGCCAGCTGTTCAGGGAAACACAATGGGTCTGAAGTCCAGGCTGGACTAGGTATAAGGCAAGATGTTATCTGGAAAATAGCCAACACACACACACACACAACAAGGCAAGGGCTAAGGAGTGGCTGGAGTGATAGAACGAATATCTAGCAAGCCCAAGGTCTAGTACCACCATATATAATTATATATACATAACATGTATATGTTATATATGATATACATACACAATATGGCCTGCTTACATTTTAGACATCTTACTTTATATAAGTGTACTCTATCTTTGCATAAGGATGAAATTGCCTAAGGATGTCTTTCTCAGAATTTCTCCCCATCCTAAAGCAATGCTGAGTTCATGTTACTTTTTCCATGTTTTGTCTTGTCTTTACAAAGGAACTGTCAGGTTCTTACAAGCAAGAACCACATATTTCTCCAAGTAATTGCCAGAACATGCAACAGACCTTGTGTGTAAAGGTTACATTAGGTTATCCAATTGCCATGAGCTTCAATTTATGTTAGGAACTCTCAAGGCATCAAAGGCTGAGAAAAACACCCAAAAGCCTTTCAAATTATTCTTACAGGCAGGATACAGGTGGCTCACACCAGCAATCCTACCTACTTAGGAAGCTGAGATCTGAGGATACCGGTTCGAAGTCGCTGGGCAGGAAAGTCTGTAAGACTCATCTCCAATTAACCAACAAAGAACTGTAACTGGAGCTGTGGCCCTGAGTGCAAGCCCCAGTGTGCACACACACACACACACACACACACTCTCCCTCACCCTCTTTCACACACACACACACACACACAAACACACACACAATGTAGCCACCTATCTTAAGAGAAACACTTCGAAGGAAAAGAACAAGTATAATCAATTCCTTAAAGACAGCTGGCTGCACGCACTCACAACTGGCAGGTCTTCCCACAGTTGGCTTCCGGGTTCGGGGTGCCGACACAGGCCAGCGAGCCGCCGCAGACGCGTTATTACCATTGCACCACCGCCCCCCTCTATCGGCTGACAGTTTGGCAGACACTAGTGAAAAACAATCTTGTCAGAGCAAACAGTCCCCATCATTTTGTCCTGGATATTTTTTTTTTTTCTCCTGAAGTGAGCAGAGAATAGGGAAAGCGTGGGTGAAGAAGACGGTACTAAAGACAAGAGCAGAAGCAGCCGCCGAAAGAAAACTAAGTTGGCACGGCGCGCCGGGCTCTCCAAGCCGTGTCCTCCCCGGCGGAGGAAGCGCCGCTAGTCTGCAAGTCATGAATACGCGGCTGTTTCACTTTCACGCGAACCCCGAAAACCCCCGCCCTCCCCCGGCTACGTTTCCGGGTGTCCTTCGGGAGAGACCGGCGACAGGGACCCGCAAGCCCTTCACACCCGGCCTCTAGAGGAGGCTGAGGAGGGGGCGATCTGCGGGAACGTGGGAAAGGAAATCGAGGAAGGGGGGGGGGAAGCAACGACGGAAATATAGGGGGGAGGGGGAAAGGTCACGGCGGAAGGTGAAGAGTGCGAGAAAATCGGGGGACCCCGGCCCCACAATTTGCCACAAGGAAGACACAAAGACGGGGTGTGGGAGGAAAACACAGGGGCCGGGCGGCGGGAGGAGCAGCCGAGCCAGCGCCCGGGCGCCGGGGGCTTGGGGAGCGGAGCCCCCCGAGGACGGGCGGGCGGCTGGG